TGCTGGTTGTAACTATGTACCAGCGAAACGTCGTGCCCAAATGTTAAATGGGTGTCTGCTCCATGGCAATGAGTGAGAATTTTGTTACATAGTTTACGTGGAATATCGGAGTGCTGATGACTACCCAAAATGTCGAAACCGGTTCAGAGTTTGCTTACTTAAACTAATTCTGCCGCTTGATAATAATGGGCTGCCTAAGCTAAGATGCAGACGCACTTAAAATAATATCTAAAACATCCACAAAGCATTTGGTATTTAGACGCGTGGACAAAAAGTGGACTTCGCTTTTATATAACAGTCAGTGTAGATTACGTAATTTAACACTGACCACGTGCACCATCGTAGGGCAGCGTGTTCATGAACGATGCAGTAATAGAGGCCATCAGCACCTCCGATTAGCACGGTTGGCTACGCGAACGAAGTTCAACGTAGAATGCACACAACATGGGCGCAGCATTCAACATTCGGAACCGACTTGTACTGAACCGCGGAGTATCTCGCTTTTTTATTTTACTTTCATTAATTTTAATGTTTTACCTACGTGACTTTATCGAAAAAAAACCCTAAGAATATGAGTATCTCGCTGTTGCGCTCTACCGATGTGTTCACGGCCTGTATCGCGTGCGTTGTTGGGCACGATGCCTGACGTTTCGCGTCCACGTGCTGCTGCTCATAATGAGGAGTTTCTTCAGCGCGTGTTGTTTACCGCTACGCAATGGAAAGCGTGAATGAATCCGGGTCCCACAGTGCCCACAGCTTTACCCACCACCACCTCCAGCAGCAGTAGCAGCAGCAGGAGCAGGTCGGGGGGGTGGCAGCTTCGTGTGCTTGTTGTTCCATGTCGCTATGACTCCCGCCCCAAGTGTTTGTCTGCTGCTATAATGCAGCCTGTGTAGTAGTTTAGCTCTGCTACAGGGGCATGCTCCCTGGCTTGGTAACAACGCCACGGGTCTTAACTCGGTTGAAACGCGATCCGGTGTAGAGAGATCGTAAGCCGACTTGCAAATCCTGTAGGCCATCTCGATATGCACACGTTGCTAAAAGTGAATGGCGCGTCCCACGCAATTGCGTGCATTAATGCGAACAGAATGATGCACGTGACGCACATACTACAGTGTGCGCTCTCAATGTGTGTTTTTGTGATGTTAGGCATTTTCACAATTAGTATGTTCAACTTGTTTCGCACCGTACGGAGCCAGCCGTGCTCTACGGAGGTGCGTGGGGAGGACAACAAACGAAATACAACAATCTGTTCGAAAGACATGAAGAGCAGTTCTTGCAAACGATGGAGGAGCGAGCCTATTGGATTGCACGGTCATCCGCTGTGTGAGCAATAGTGTTATCATTTTCTGCTACATCTGGTATAACAACAATGTGGCGTTAATATATTGTTCATCATAATAAATCATCAACCAACCGATTGTGCAATGAAACATGTATTTCCGATTTCCAGAGTTTCGTGGCATTTTATACGAGGGTCTAGCATTGAGATATTTGTCCAAGGATGAGCGATTCTGTTATTGATCACAAGCCAATTACTTCCCATTATCAATACAGCACAAATCCCTTTCAATCGATGGACCAAGTAATTTTCCTCCTGTGGAGTGTGCCGTGCAGTCCGATTACAATGTGTGCAACATGATTCCCACTTCTATTGCACTGGTCAACAACAACAACAAAAAATTCTGGCCTGGACTTTTGCAGCTGTTTTAGACTAATTTCAGGGTGCTGATTTCAAATCTGATCTCAGATTTGCTCTATCACATCTCATTTTTATGCTATCGGCATACCCCATTTTCATTGATTTTACCCGAAATTAACTCTGTCACTTACGATTGCAAGTTGTTGCGAGTCAGTGACTGCTTTAGTGTTAAAATATGGTGCTGTATTTTTAGGATAGTGTGTTTATAATATCATTTTATGTAGATATCCACATTTATTTAATATTTTTCTTCTGCAGTTTTTATTGAAAATGCAATATTTGATATCTCAAAAACCTGATGTCAGATTTTGAATCAGCACCCAAAAATTACCTTAAAACCGTTGGAATGCCTTATGCCAGAAAAAAGTGTGTTGACCAGTGTTTTTATTTGACCAGGTAAGGCCCACTGAGCTCTGGAGCTGGCCATCACGAATGATAGCTCAACGAAGTGGCTTGGCACGTGGACATTTATTCAGCAGCCAAACACGCGAACACACGATATAATTTAAATATACGAAGGATAGACTACATATGTGTAGATACATGCAAGTATGTGTGCACTGTGGTTGTATGTGTCAATGCACTACATATATTCCTGTAGGCACTACGCATAGAGCACGTGACATATCACCATCAGCCATGGTCAATCCCCAAGCCACCGCCACCTTTCGCGATCCTTCTGTCCAATAATCCACCTGGCGCCTTGCAACATGAACTGGTTTGACCGCTCCATCTCCCCGGTGGACGTCCCCTTGGGTCGCGTTCCATTCCTTGGCCTTACACTCCGTTGTTTATTCTGGACCATCGGCCATCGTCAACTCTATCTTGCGACGGTGTCCGGCCCAAGTCCCCGACTTACTTTTCTTCTGCGGCCGTCTGGAATTCTCTTCCTTACGATATTAGGAAAGCGCTGGAGCTCAGCACTTTTAAAACATCTAGGTTGAAAACTCATTTCTTTCCAACTACTTTTTGTCTTTAGTTTGTTGTCCATCCTCCCGCACCTCCGTTTAGCACGGTTGGCTTTGCACGTCGCGGATGCAGTTCAACATACGCACTTACTTACCGGTTTGAATGATGCATCATTAACCGGTGTATGCTCTCCAATCTTCGTGTTCATCTTTCTGTCTCCCATGTTATTCCAACTTCCAAGGCTTGCGTCTCTCCACGCTTCTTCGTGCACTTTTAGTTTTTCTGCTACAGTATATTCTTACGTGAATGTCCACGTCGCAAAATATTTACACCACAAATGTACGAATACATATGTATTTATACGTATATTGATCAATTGTGAAACTGTGATGCTGATGCTCCGATGATAGTTGTCTGTAGATGTGCCATGTCTATTCGAAGACCAAATATGTGCGACATGTGAATACAATATAACGCATCCAAAGTGGATTACAATCTCGTGTACGTAGGATATGGAAGCTGAGTGCCCATGGTGCAAGGCCGTAATTATAATATCTATTGGGGGGGACACATCCCCCCAGGATTCAAATATGCTCAAAAGGTCCCCCCCAATATATTGCTATATATAAAAAAATTGCTATGCTATGTAAATAAAAACAATAATTTGCTAAACCTTGGCCGCAATATCTGGACTTGTCTTCATATCAATCAATGCATAGATTTCTGTTCATATGATTGTGCTTATGGTTAGACTTTATTAATCCCTAATCTCTGCCATTACAAACAATGAAACAAGAAATGGTAAAAAAGTCAAACAGAGCTAATGTAATACAATACACTATTAGACATTATTGTAAAAAAAGTAAATAAAACGTCCATCCCATGTGTTAGTGATTTTTTTAATATTTTAGGCAGGAAATTTACTTTTTAAATTTAGATATTTTTCTGGGTTTGGACCGCCAGACACCCTGGAAGATTTGGTCCCCCCCAATGTTGACTCCATGGCTACGGCCTTACCATGGTGTAATGGTTAACACACTAGTCTTGCAATACGGGTGCCATGGTGATGAGAGGTTAACCCCTCGCCTAGTATACAGGAGGTCGTGGGTTCGATTCTGACCTCGACGCATGTATATTTGGAGTTTGCGTGTTCTCTACGTGGTCACGTGGATTTTTCTCCGGGTCCTCCCCTTTTTCCCTCCACATTTAGAAACGCGCGTTAAGAGTACTTGGCCGCTATACATTTCCACGTGAACAGCTGCTTCGTTGAGCTACTGTTTGTGACCAGGTTGCTTCTGAAAAAGAACTATATAGCCCAGTGGGGCCTTACCTGGTAAAATAAAATATAGTTTAGCTTACTGTACTTTATAGAGGTTGGCGGTTTTGATTTCAATATCCCGACACGGCAGTTGTGAAATAGTGGAAACCCACTATCTCTGTCCGCCACACAATATGAATTGGGTGGCAATTCTCACTGCTTCCAAGACTTCTTTCGCACCATACGTAGCCAAACCGCAGAGACTGATCTGCCAGCAGTGGCATGGACACGCAATCGCTGGTCTGTGCCTCTCCAAATTTAATTCGACATTGCGTGAGAGGGAAGGATCTCTCCCGATTGTGACTTTGTATTTATGCTGGAGGTGGGGCCGGAAGGTGAGAGATTTTTTTTCCAAACGAACCGGCGACCACCGAATTGAAAGTTCAAAAATAAAAGGTTTATATAATACACCGCCAAGTGACGAATTTTATCTTGCGTCGTTCATGCAAATTGCATCTCACAATCGCTGAGGGATAAGCTGGAAGGCTGCCTGGCGGGTGAGCCCAAACCAACAATTGATCTGTAATTCTAGATTTGAAGCTTTCGTGACTGCAAGGATTCATATTCTTAGGTTTTTTTCGGTAAAGTCACGTAGGTAAAAAATTTAATTAATAAAAAAAAAATCACGACGTTTCGGAGGCAACACAAGCTTCCGTCTTCAGGTTGACACAGCAATCGTGCTGTGACGGTTCCACCTGAAGACGGAAGCTTGTGTTGCCTCCGAAACGTTGTGATTTTTATTTTATTTTTATTTTACTTTTATTAATTTCAATTTTACCTACGTGACTTTACCGAGAAAACCTAAGAATATGATCTGTAATTCTCTACATATCAAGATGTTTTCGGCCAACTGGTGCGGTGTTCATTATACGCGTGGGAGAAAGACACCGGAGAACCCAGAGTAAACACCCCCGGCCCCCCTCCCACAAGCACGCGAACGTCCCCAACACCTTTCTCCCACGCGGAAGGGGGACAGGACGGACACGAGTCTCACACGCCTTGCGCCGTACCCGCACATTCTTGCCGGCCCGCTAAACTCCCGTGGCGAAACCCGTGGCGACGTCCGCGCAGGTCCGTACGCGGCGCTGTGCCGCGGGGACGCGGGCGGGCCGTGCCTGCAAGGCGCCGCGTTCAAGCGCAAGCGCGCCTGGTCCCGGGCCGTCTTCTCAAGCCTGCAGCGCAAGGGACTCGAGAAGCGCTTCCAGGTGCAGAAGTACGTGACCAAGCCCGACCGCCGGCAGCTCGCGGCCATGCTGGGGCTCACGGATGCGCAGGTGAGGAGGGGGGGGGGGGGCGAGCGGGGCTTCTCGCTGCGTGTGTGCACGTGTGGGTGTGCGGGCAGAGGAACGAACGGAGCGCTGGGTGGCGAAAATGTTGGCACGGTAAGGGGGCAACAGCTGGTGCATCTGGCGGTCGTCTCATTTTTCATTCGACCCATGGCGCCTGGGTCTGTCCCGTAACCTCTTGTCAGCGAGCCTTTGACACTTCACGTGATAGACTCGAAGTGCACCTATGCTGGCACAATCGCTGTGGTGACATCACCGCCACTTAGTAGTGAATGGCGGCTGATCTAGTATGCAGGTGTGTTGGGGCGTGGTAGAGGTTAGTGGTCCACGCACTGCGCTATGAACCCAGGGGACCCAAGTTCCATTCCCGCTCACTATCAACATCAGTGGCGAATATCTGAACGGGTCCAGCTCAGCCTCAATTGAGTATCTGATGCAGTGTGTAGACCTCTGCAATGGGGAGATTAAGGTAGCCGAGTGTGGTACAGTACTTGCTACATCACTCACATGTGCTCACGAATGGCACTTGACCCCAATAGTCTATGTAGGCTATACAACAGGGGTCCCCAACCCCCGGGCCGCAGATCGGTACCGGTCCGTGGCCTGTTAGGAACCGGGCCGCACAGCAGCAGGAGGTGAGAGCGGTGAGTCCGCGCGTGCCCCCCCCCCCCCCCCCCCCCCATTGTTTTATTATTTACCACTTCCATCCGCGCCTCTTTCCCGCACTGCACACTCGTCTCAGTCACAGTGTTGGTCAGCCCACAAGCTCTAACCCCTAGTAGCCAACATGAGTACAAAACAAACGTCGCTGGAGAGCTTCTTTGGAAAGGGGGAAAGACCCAATTGATGAACCCCCCTCCCGGTTCGTGAAAAAAATTGTCTTCCACGAAACCGGTCCCTGGTGACAAAAATTTTGGGGACCGCTGTGCTACACAACAGGGGATTGTGTGTACGTGTGTGGTTGGGAGCTGTGGCGCAGTGGTTAGCGCACTGCATTGCACACCCGGCAGGGCTGGGTTTCATGGCTGTCCAGAGCTAACATGAGTGGCACAAACACCCTGGATATCCTCTATGTATACTTAGCCTCAAATGAGTACCTGGTTAAGTGTGTAAACATCAGCGATAGAGAAGTAAAATGAGTCGTATATGGTTTGGCCAGTCGACAATCGTGTACCTTAATAGGTGCTCGCTAACAGCACTTGTTCCAATGATATTTAGGCGACACGGGGGATCGTTGTGTGTGTGAGAGATATACATTTCATACTCTCAGTGTATCTCTTGGGAGGCCAATGTTTTGCACACTTGTACTCATGATCTTGGCAAACCTGAGTTTGATTCCCAGGTCACTGACATTAATCACAGGGTAGCTAATTAACACCGCCACTCATTCGAATGTATTTCAGCCAAGTCTGAAGACTCATTTGTCAAGAAGGGTGCTGGCACAGGCATATTTGGCCAATTTTTATATTATTATTTTTTTCAAATGTTGATGAATTTTATTACTTGATTAGTTTCAATTGATTCATTTTAATTTTGAAATTAAAACATTCCTTCAAATAAAAGTAGTACAATGACTCCATTCGCACAAATACAAAGTGACCGCATCATAAGAAGGCAATTGCAATTTAATTACCGTGGTCTTAAGACAGACACTTTTTTTAAGGTGGCATAACGTTTCATATTCATGACAGAATTTATTTAATTTGCAAACATTTTACATTTGAGTAAACGGCAATGATTTGAGCAAACGAAACTCCAGGTCGCTTCTGAAAAAAACAGCTATATAGACTCAGTGGGGCCTTACCTGCTAAAATAAAACATATAGTATAACTGGTTACTCCACATGATAATTGTTTTTTTACCCTTCTATCTGGCAACAAAACTGACACCGTTTTTTACAAGGAGTCATGTTTGCATAGACCACAATACCTGCAGTCATAATGCAAACAAAAAACATAACTCTGATAATGTGCACTGTCCTTGAAGTCCTTTGGAAAGCTGTCTCGGGTGTGGACCAATCAACTTCAAGGACAGTGCATACATTATCAGAGTTATGTTTTTTTGTTTGCATTATGACTGCAGGTATTGTGGTCTATGCAAACATGACTCCTTGTAAAAAAGGTGTCAGTTTTGTTGCCAGATAGAAGGGTAAAAAAACCAATTATCATATTTCTTACTGGCAAATGAGGTTCCAATGGTGTAAATGCTTACCCCGAGCTCTCATACTCTGATGGTGCATTGTCTTTGAGTTGTGCGCCTTTTGGCGTCATTTGGTCCAACACCATGTGAGACTCGGCTCTAAGGAAAGCTGTCTCGGGTGTGGACCAATCAACTTCAAGGACAGTGCATACATTATCAAAGTTGTGTTTTCTGTTTGCATTATGACTGCAGGTATTGTGGTCTATGCAAACATGACTCCTTGTAAAAAAGGTGTCAGTTTTGTTGCCAGATAGAAGGGTAAAAAAAACAATTATCATATTTCTTACTGGCAAATGAGGTTCCAATGGTGTAAATGCTTACCCCGAGCTCTCATACTCTGATGGTGCATTGTCTTTGAGTTGTGCGCCTTTTGGCGTCATTTGGTCCAACATCATGTGAGACTCGGCTCTAAGGAAAGCTGTCTCGGGTGTGGACCAATCAACTTCAAGGACAGTGCATATGTAAAGTAGTAACTCGGCAGGAGACGACTTCACGGGTAGCACACTCTTTATTTTCGCCAACTTGTAGTTACACGGATGACTAACACCCTACTTCGTTACACGGGTGACCAACACCCACTTAGCTACACGGGTGACGGACACCCACTCAGCTACAACTTCGTTACACGGGTGACCAACACCCACTTAGCTACACGGGTGACCAACACCCACTCAGCTACACGGGTGACCAACACCCACTCAGCTACACGGGTGACTAACACCCACTCAGCTACACGGGTGACCAACACCCACTCAGCTACACGGGTGACTAACACCCACTCAGCTACACGGGTGACCAACACCCACTCAGCTGTACTGACACGGGCTCTTACGCCCCGTAGCCTTCCGGGACACACCCAGCCGGGGTGCCCGTCTCGGCTCTGGGTACCACCGTCCCGACCCACACGGGCGTCGGGCTACGGTCCCCCCAGTCTCGGCTCCGAGCCACACAGGGCCCCGGTCCCCACAAGGACGGCGGGACTAGGGGTCTCGGGCCCCTACCTCCTCCACCCCGTCTTGGGTCTTCAACTGGTTAACACTGACCACGAGTGCTCTCGCGCGTCCCCCTTTATACCCCTCCTGCGGACGTCGCTGAGAGTACCCACTTATCTGACCAATCACTGCGCACTCGCTACGATCCTCTTTTCCCAGCTTGTGTGAGCGCGCCTCACCACCGGCGCGCGCGTCCATGCCACGCCCACACCGCGTGCCCAACCCCGCGCCCCGTGATCCATCACTTCCGGCGCACGTCAATACCACCACTACATCACCCCCAACCACATAGCTCGCAGCCGACCCGGCTGCTAATAAAACATACAACACCCCTTCACTCCCATGTGTGCCCCGTAACATAACACAAACCCTAACAACACAACATGAACACCGCAATCCGCAAAACCCAGCAACCGCCACACCCGCAACAAGAACAACATGCACAATCCGGCGAGTGGCAACGATACTGTGTATGCGGAAAGAGTAACAATAAAAAAAAATTCTTTAATCATTTTCTCTTCTTTTCTCTCCGACTCATGCAGCGTCCCAATGTCCGAGCGTCCCTTGAACGGGACATTACCCCGGCAGAGGGGGAAGCCGGCAACGAAGTCGGGCTTTAACAAAAAAAGAAAAAAAAATGTTTCATGAAAAGTGTTGCGTCCTTGCCCGAGTCCGCCTTGCCGGACCGTCGTACGGCACAGGACGCAGTTGGCCATCCGGCGGCGCCGGCAGTTCAGGAAGGCATGGGCCGGGCATCGGGGCTCCGTGCGAGCCGCGGGGTTCCGGTTCCCGACGGTCAACAGCCGTCAGGTCCGAGACACCGGGTTCAGTTGGGATGTCTTGAGTCCCTGGTCGTCGTCCGGACGTGGTCCCGCGGTGCGTTGACGCGGGGCCCGGCACCCGGACGCGACGTGGCCTCGAAGGCCGCAGTTGTAGCAGACGACGAGGGACGTCGTAGGTTTCGGTTGCTCCAGCTTGCGGGAGGAGCGTGTGGGCGAACGACCTCCCGTTCTCCACTCCCCCGGCCTCGAACCAGCGAAGGCCTCCTCCCGAGGCACAGCAGGCTGAGGTCCGATGATCGTGGCGGCCGGTGCCCCGTTCTCCACCGATGCGCAGACGACCGTCGGCTTCCGCTGTAGGACCTCGTAAGCGTGGATACTCGTGGCAATCCCCAGGGAGCAGATGTCCATCTCGTCCGCCGTATTAATGGGAACTCCCAATCCGTGAGCCAGCGCCAGCAGCTGCTCCGTCACCATGGCGTCCTTCCCCTCCTTGTCCATGCGGGGAAAAGCTGAATCCGCCAGGGCGAGCAGCGCCGTGCGATAGGCGAGCGTTGTTTCTCCAACCACCTTCCGCCGATCGTAGAACTGGTGGCGACAGGTCGAGGGCGGCCCGAACACCTTGGCCAACAGGTGCAGCGCGGCCTGGAGCGTTGAGCGGGACGACCTCGGGGCAGACGTGAAGGCCGCAAGCGCGTCGTCGTCGAGCATCGCTGGCAGCGCGCGCAGGGCAGTGGTGTCGGACCACCCCGACATTTCTTGATGCACGATGAACCGTCGCTGGAAGGCTCCCCAGTCGCCCCCGTCCGCCTTGAACACCGACAGCGCGGGCAATCGTTGCTGGAGAACTCGATCGTCGTCGTCGTCGTTGGAACGATTTTCCCGCGCGCCGCTGTGGTTGTAGAAAATGTCGGCTCCCTCTGCAGGCGCAAAATGGAGAGCTCCGGCGCTCGCCGATGACGCGGGCTGCGCTGTGTGGAGACCTCTGGCCACGTGGTGTCCGCGTTTCCCGCCAACC